GAAAAAAGATATAATAAACCAATTTATGGCTCCATTAATATATACTCCCTCCAATCCCTATTGTAGAACTTCTTATTGAAAAATTATTTGATCATTAATACTTGATGAGGTATTAATGATATTTTTAATATTATCTCTATTTAAATTTATTAATTACAAGGTGGAATGTAACATAAATTTAATTTTTTTCTATTTAAATAATGATAAAATTAAATTTTATTCTATTTTTAAATATAATTAATAAATTAACTATATTTTATTGATTTCCGTGAGGTGATTAAAAGTGCATTATAATAGAGATAAGGAGTATGATAATAATTATAAAAATAATAAACAGATAAGGCATTATTGTGCCATTTTAAAATTTTGGATTTTTGTTAAGAAAACTTGATCGATGCAGACTTGCAAGAAGTTCAAAAAACCAACAACATTATTTTTATATATTATAAATAAACAATATTATCGTCGAAGATATTCATATAGGCATGCCTACGTCTGCTGGTTGGGCGGAAGAATTACACACAAACATAAAAGAAGACAACACGAACTGTAGCGAGTTGGATATTCATGTAAACTATATATAAAGTGCTATAATTATTAGGCTGTCAAAGTTAGATTAATGGAAGGATCACAGATAAGTCTGAAGGGGACCAATTGATATAAATTAAGTCTCAAGTTTTAAATTTTAAAAATTTATAAACTCAGCTTTTAATTTTATAATTTTATTATGATAAATTTATAATTTATTTTTTAAATTTTTATTATAAAATTGAAAATCAAATTTATAAATTTTTAAAATTTAGCTTCTAAAACTTAATATAAATTAATTAATCTCCTTAAAATTTATCTGTCACTATCCCTAAATTAATAGCTAATATTTTTTCAAAAAAAAAAAAAAGACTTGTGCACTCGAGGCTTGAAATTTTGAGAGTTAAAATGTTTGTGCTTGGGGGCATCCCCGTCCAGTACTTCTCTCATTAATTAGAACCGCCTTGACTCGCTCCAGAAAAGCGTTGCAGAGATAACAGCTATGATAGTAGGAAAGATTTTCTTCTGGTGTTACGAACTGTAAATATCAGACTAAATAGGAGTTTTGGGTAAGAACGAGGCCTTTTTTTAAAAAAAAAAATATTTTATTAATATGATCGTATATGCTAAGCCTGACAAGTCTTGTTAATATATTCTTCATCGAATAGGTTCGATTTGTTTGCAGACTAACGTATTTAAGATAATGTGGATGTCAATCTCAATACCCCACAACCACAAGTCACAACAACAACTATGTGCACAGACAGACACACACGCTAGTTTTCGTAAGTACGATGCCCCCACCAGCAAAGATTCCTTCTCATTATTCATCCTCGAAAGTAATCAAAGGTATAGATGGCCAATTATACGATGACGCTTAATTAAGAATAAGATAAATTTCCCCCAAAAAAACAAAACGAGGCAAGCTTTTTAAGCTTCGTTTTTACATTATTTAGCAGAAGTAGTCTTAGGGTCTATCAAAACGAGAAGAAGTAGGAATAAGGAAGAAAAATAATGTTTCAAACTTTCGAATAATCGGATTTAAATATTTTTTACAATTCGATATCACCTTTAAAAAAAAAATTAGAGGTCGTTATTTTATTTGAAATTTTAATTTATATGAAGGACGTGTACACTTAAATTCGTGCAAATGGAAATTAGTCGGGGTTAGCTTACGATTTAGATAATTCTGACATGTTGATATACCATTGGGCTATATTTAAATGTTCTACCTGGGCTGATCTAATTAACAGTCATTAGTGATCAACCTACTGATTTCATCACGCCGGTCTTAATTAGTGCTGTTTACTCAAACTTCTTAGCCAGGGAAAAAAAATTAGTTCAAATAATTTCCCTTAGCTTGCTAAGGGATATTTAAAAAATAAAAAATAAAAAAACAATTAAAAAACACATGTACAAGCATCAGGGTTTCATACAGGGAAAACACAATCATATAGTTTTATTAAGTTTTATTTGAAGTCCTTATAGTAAATATTTTCAATCTCTATAGTTTCAATAAGATTAAATGATATTTATCACTAAATCCCTATAATTTTAGTGTTTTTCAGTCCCTATAATACTAAAAACAAATTACAAGAACTAAAAATAAAATTTACTAAAAATATAGAGATCAATGATTAAGGATCTGTTTGTTTAAGATTTAAAAATAAATAATTTTTTGACAGTTTAGAGATTTTATAAAAAGAGATTTATTTTGCAAAAATTTTATAAAAAGCAGATATTATTTTATGTTTAGTTACAATAATTAAAAGGTGATTATTAGTTAGTTATTTTTAAATGTTATAATATTTTACTTATTTTTGTTTTATAAAAATAATTTATTATTATATTATTTTATAATTTATCATATCTTCGTGTATCCCGCCTATTTAAAATACTCTATTTTATTTATCACATTACATTATTTTAATAAGCTACTCACAGTAGCTTCTTAAAATAATAAAAAATCTGCTCTTTTTTTTGGGATTATTTTTAAAAGTTTAAATAAACATAATAAAAATTTAAAAAATAATTTTTTGAAAAAAATAAGTAATTTTTTTTATAAAACAAGTTAAAACAAATGGGTTCTAAATTTTTCCTTTCATGTATATCGAAAATAGCTATGTATTTGAGCATCAACGATACACGCATCAACTAGTGTGTGATAACTGATAAGGCTTAACTTCACGATCAAGCAGGTCTTTTCTTACAGAATGATCCTGACAAGATTAATCATGCACCACAGGTTATGCAAGAAACCTAACTCATTGGATATGCTTGTTTCACATAACAATCTAACAACTGTGTGTGTGAGAGAGAGAGAGAGAGGAAATGGGGAAGCGAGAGAAGGAAGTTAAAGGGGGATTTTACTAGCTTGTTAAAGAACGAGTGAAATAATTTTGGATATAATTTTATACATGATTGTCCAAGTCATTTTTAAATTTACGTGGAATTCATTTTATAACAGTATTTTTATACTTGGTAACTTTGTTTGCCTGATTATCAATGCCTTGTCAAATATAAAATGAAAATAATTCTTAAGACTCTGTTTGATTACATTTTCATTTTCATTTTCATTTTTTATTTTTTAAAATTATTTTATAATATAATTTTTAAAATTTCCTTTCAAAACAAAAAAAGTTTGTTTGGTTTTTAGAATTAAAACACCAGCTGATAATAATGATTACTAGTAGTTAATAGTAGTGGCTTGTGATAATGATTGATCAAAGTTATAGTTTTGAGTAATTAAATGTAATGTATTTTGAAAATAAGAAAAATAAAAAAAATATTTTAAAGATGTTTTTATTTTTTTTAAAATAAAAATGAGAATAATTTTAAAAACAAATAAATTCAAAACATTTATTCAAGCAATTTTTAAATTATTTTGTTTTAAAAAACAATAAGCTATTCTTAAAAACAGAAACCAAATAAATCATAAATGCCTACAACTGGTACTCCTTTTGATTCTGTTTGTAGAATACTTTTTAGAAATAAATTTTAATCTAAAATGCAGGATACTTTAATTAAATTATTTTTTTAAATTTATTTTTTTATTAGCGTGAAGATATTTAATATGATTGTATCATTATTTAAAGTTAAGGGTCAAAATGAAAGTATATATTATTTTTTTTAATTTTAAGAAAAAATTAAATTTTTTAAAAATGTATGAAATGATTGAAAATATTATACAGGAAGAACTGTAGGGAGCATTTGATGAATTGGCAGCTTTCTCTCATCGTTTATCACAGTACACCATCATCCGCCAAGAGAAGAACACGCTGCTTTGTTGCCATTACGCTATTCTCCAACAATGACCCCTTTCAGTTCACACACAAACCTGCAATCTATTTGTACTTTCCCATATCTTTTGCGTTGTGTAATGACTATCAGTTTTGCCTCACTTCCCCAGCCACAGCCTTCAATTTTTGTCTCTATTTCTGTACCATTTGGGTTTTGGGATAACGCTGGAGTTCTTACATAGATGATATATTCAATAGAAAAAAATTTGAATGTACCTTTCAAAATGTTCACTATCATACCCTTGAATAAAACTCCATTTGTTATACTATTCTTATTTTATTTAAAATTCTAACGACAAGCATTTAAAAAGGGGCAAGAAATGTTAACGAGAGGAGCGTGGAGGAGTTAAAACTGAAATGATAAAATCCTTCTCACTTCCCTCCCAGTCTTAATATCGTTGAGCATCTACAGTACACATTCCCTACTTAATAAGATTCGCACGGGAATCGCACGGCAACAAAATCACGCACGAAATGTAAGTTGTTTCCAGAGGCCAGAGGGTGTACAAGATTGCACACTTCCAAGGCAATCTAGCAGAGGGGTCGACCCACACAACCGCTCCCTTCATCTCTTCCCCTTGGATATACAACAGAGGCTGGGCTCACGTAGAATTTGTTTTCCCCCTTCACTGCGATTCTGCAATGTTAAAATCGAATCGAATCTCTTCCTGACATATTTATACACCTACCTATGTTTAATTTAATCTACTTAATAGTTAATATAGGCAATATTATATCCTAATCAGACGCTTTAAAGGAGGACCAATTAAGTAATGGTCCTACAGACCTCTACAAATTGCTCACGTAACTTGGCTTGTTTAAATCAAATTTTAACTTTAGTTCAAAAAGAAAAATCAAATTTTAACAGTGAATTTATTTATATTTTCTAACTTATCAAATTTGGAGAGAAACCAAGCCTGCTTATGTTACCTGAGGAGCGTTACCCTTCTTATCCTCTTTTTGGACCTGGGATCCGGAGGGTAAATAGGCCTTGTTACTTATGAATCAAAATATATCAAGAAGTTAGGCGCATTTCTTAATCGAATATATTCCTCACATATTCATATATTTACTTATGTTCAATTTAACCTGTTTAATAAGGGCGATGTTAGATTCTAATCGGACACTTTAAAGAAGGACCAAGTAAAGAGGCCGATTCCTTAAGAACATATCTATAACCAAAACATCCCATCAATAAATCAATCACATGAAACAACAGAAAGTGCTACCCGGAGGTCATTTGATGTTCCACTTGTATACATCCGATAACTTTTCAATTCATTTTGAGAAGCACTTGTATCACGAGCTGCATAGTGATTCCCATTCACCTCATCGCACAGAGTAAATATAATCTCCCTCAGGATTGGTTCATGCCCGTTGAGAAGATTGCCCATGCTCAAAACTTTTCTCCAAGATTGATTGGCCGTGGGAGGACTGAACATATTGGACACCACTGCTCTCTCATGATTCCTTACTTCCAGTTTCTTGTCATACTCCTGATAAGCAAATAGCCAAGAGAAATTACACGTCAGTCCATGCTCAGGAAGATTTAGTGTCAGACAAGATGTTGATGTTAAAAGTTTTTTAGACGTTTGCAGTGAAGTTCTTCAATTAGAAAATATATAAGCATTCTGTATCAACTAGCCCTAGTATTATTTATTGCAAACTCCGATTAAACTAGAGTTTTTCTGCCATCAAGTTAAGCCCACTGGCATATTGGCATTTCACCTTACTAATAATGTCGTCTGTTGAGCCTATTCCCATCCTCGGGCTATAGAAGTTGTAGAAATCACCAAAAATTTCTCTAGAGAGGCGTGGCGTCCGCAGAAGCTTACGGTGAAGAGAAGCAGCAACAGCCAATAATTTCTCAACATGTTCGAAAACAATACAAAGTCGTCTTAGGTCATTAATAGTCTCACTATCTGCAGACAGACGATTCACTGCAACAAAATGGAACTAGAAGTCAAATAATATTTTTTTTTTTCCATGTAAGAGTCGAAACTAGTGAATAGATACCCTGCAACGGCTTCAGTCCAGATGCCAGGGTAAGGTAAAGTTGGTCCATCTTCGTCCCCATCTGTTTCAGTTCTCCATAACTGGTCAGGTTTAGTGTGTCAACTGCTGCTCTGAAGGCAGTACAAACCATTTGCTCAAGCAATTGATGTGGCCGGAGAGTTTCCAGGTAATGAAGCACCTAGAAATTTCAGGATCTAAATAAATAAGAGAAAACGAGATGCAGGGGTGATTGGGAGAACATATCATAATTCTCAAGAAAACCAAATATTTGTTCAAACGTCTTTTCCTTCCTCACATTGAAAATAACGAGGAACGGAATAACGTAACTCGAGCACCATCTAGAGGATCCCCACGCAGCTATTATCCAATAAATAAGAGCTACTGACTTAATTCAACCTAAAGAGAAGCACCATCTCATTCCAAGAAGTAAATGTGTGGAAATTCATGTATTAATCCCTTGATTTCATACTAGAATCACTATGATTTTTCTACTATGTCCCCCCTCACCCCGGTTTTGTCTTGATTTATTTCTTTTTATACAACATTTTATATATAGGTTGCCTTTTCTTTTCTTGCGAGTATATACTTAAAGATAAAATCTAAAATAAATGCATACGAGAAAAAGTGGACACAACACTTAATGAGAGCAAAATGATAGAAAATTATTTAAGATGATTTGAACATATATAAAGAACACCGCGAGAGGTATCAATGAGGAGAGTGGAACGGATAATGTTGAGTCCTATCAAGAGGGGTATAGGAAGACTAAAGAAAACACTTAGGGAAGTTGTTGACCGACACATTGTAGTGAACATTATTCCTAAAAACTTGGTAAATAATAGAGCACAATTGCAGTGTATAATCCGTGTAGCCGACTCCACCTAGTGGGATAAGACTTGTTGTTTCCTTTTCTTCTCCAATGAATAAGATTAAAAAAAATAAAAAATAAAAAAGAGGTGTCAATGCTCTCAAAATCTTCAAAAGCAATGGCAAGACTAATTTTTAAAGTTCTTAGTTTAAGAAAAATCAAGAACAGCCATGTATTCACTGGAGATCAATATACTTGATTGACAAAAAGTTGGGAGTACTTTCTCATTCTTGATGTTGAGGTAAAAATATGAATTCAATTCTCAAACACTGCTTTTAATGCTGGTAACTTCAAACTTCTTGTAGTAACTAAGAAAAAATAATCTGCATTTCACAAATGAATCATGCAAGTAAATGTTTGTTGTTAAGTATTAGAATTTGAGAGTAACTGTGGGAGTTAAGTTAGCAAACACCGGCCAAAATCATATCACCCACAATAAGTTGGTTAAAGTTTCCGTGCACACAAAATATAGAAGATCACATGACCTCCAAGGACTGTTCAGACCCCCCTTGGATCCACATAAAGGGAAAAAAATGAAGATTTTGATTGGTTTTGCTATCAAACAAACCTAAAAAAGATAGGTCAAAGCTGCTATATCAGAACCAAGACAGTGAAGCATACAGAAAAAGGAACTCTATGGAATAAATTTCCTGTAATCTGCTTCACCATAGGATACCATTAACAAACAAAGAAAAATATCTATTTCATGGAAAAGCCTTGCCTTTTCTCCCTCTCTATTTGGATCGAGAAGAGGCTTCTGTTCAGAAGCAGGAAGAGCAGGTGCACCATCCCAAATCTTTTTCCACAGATTCCCTTGCTCAGACATTCTCTTTGAAAGACTCCCTCTTGGGGGCCAATTATATTTGGACTTCTCAATTCCAACGCCACTTTGTGTAACACTATCCTCAATGTCACCCTCTTCCCAATCTCCAGGTGAATGCCATCGTATGAAGTCCTCAAAAACAGCATCTGGATTTGCTGCTTTGAATGCCGACATGTCTAATACCATCAAAGCCAATTATGATCAGTCATATCTTAATCATTAGTACACGAGATTCTTGGATTTCATTATGAGAAAGCAGAGCCTGATGTCTCTATTTCTCATTCATAGCAGAAGCAGAACAATAGATGTATAACTCAGCAAGTGTATATTCTTAGCTAAGTTGGGTAAATCTACCATTTAATCTAATCAGATTAAAATAAAAATAAACACTGACTAAAATAACAGAAGAGATAAATGATAAAATAAGTGAAACTCAGTGTATTGGGCTTGGGCCCCTGGACTTCCACCACATTACAAACCATGAAGCAAATTTTTCCAAAAGGAGAATAAATAAATCTAACCTCTCAATAGTCCAAAGAGGATAAGGAAACGGAAGATATGGCAACTCAAAATCTCATGTCAACCAACTCACTTTGGATGGAAATGCCCCCAATGCAGGCAGGGGAAGAGACATAAAATCGTAACAAGAGGACTATGTGTTTGTGAGTTTACACTTGCACGCTAAAGATAGTGTCATCAATGCCGAAAGGTATGAAGCCCCAAAACACAGTAGGTGATGGCTGCCAGCTGCCACAGCAATCGCAGCCACCGTGCCATAGTCTAGGTAGAAGATAAAAAGAGAAGTACCACTTTAAAGTCATTTATTTGTGTTGAATTTATAGGTCTGTATTTCTACATCATGGAATTGTTTTGAAGAACTCAAAACATTTTGCAATAAATCAAGTCATCTTGATATGACTTTTACTTCTCTATTACATATCTATAAAATTTCCAGTTTTTATGATTTTTAGAGGTTAGAGTTACTTGGCTAAACAAGGCCACTGGAACATGAAATATTTTGAGGGGCAGATGAAAAATAGTTAATATGCGAATTAATTTGAAAATATGAAATTCCACAAAAAAAAAAAATGACAATAAAGAGATGATAGATATAGATATACATGACAACAGGTATTATCACAACCCATATAACTCTACCACTGAAAGTATTACTTTACGAGTCTAATAATTACTACTATTACCTGAAGTTAAAATCTCTTTCTCCAGCTGCGCAGAAAAATTCTGCAAAAGAAAAATATGCAATGGTTGTGTCATTAGTACCAATGCATGCTTGGCAAATGGCATATGTGTGAATCCTACAGCATGTCAATTGCAAGCAAAGCATTGCAGTCATTAACCAAATTTGAAGTAAATTTTAAGCTTCATAAAATTCAAAGTGGGCCCCGCATTTAACCACCTAGAATCCAAGTAGGGAAACCCTGATAATTAATATTAGAATATCTGCTTTTATCATGTTGTAAATACTCATACTTACAGGAGCTGATTTAGGATCTGATTTATATTGCTTACTGTATCCCTGATTTATTGGCCACCTCTTTTTGGCCACTCGTGTATGTATTATAACATCTATCCATTCAGAAAAATATTTTCTTCTCCAAGCGCACACCAGTCAAGATAACATTCCTATCATTCAAACATATCCTACCTGTCTTTGTTGTGAGTCTTTATGTTGTCCGCAAGCTCAGGGCTTGCCACTATCTGTAGTTTAAGCTAACTTTCTTTTGAAAGTAACGTATTAGGCAATGAATGGAACTTGATATATAAATTACAGAAGTAAAACTGTTTATCGATCACATGTTATATATTTTTACTTTCTTAAGCTCAGCCTCTTTGATTTGATTTTCCAGTCCACTTACAGCAGTGGTCATTAGGAGATTTAAATTGTCAAGAAAGAAACATGCCATGGTATGTATGGAAACCACAGAATGACTAATGCATTCATACTTTCACCAAGAGTTAAAGAACTCCATCATCAACAACAAGGATAATCAAGTCATAAGCAAATACTTCTATATACATATAAGAATGGTAAATAAAGAAATTAAATGTACATGCAGGCATATGAAAGAAAAAAAACCACAGTTGTTGCGAAAAACAGGATCAAACACATACATCAGAATCAGGAATGGGGTTTAGGAAATCATCCTTTATCAAGCATATGAATTTAAAATTTGCAAAAACAATGTACCAATAATGTCAGGCAGATCACCGATGCCCATGAACCAATTGTTTCATGTGGCCGGGATATGCTAATATGTAAGTCACTGATTACTCATAATTTGATCAAACAACAAAATTCTTGAGACAATGAACTTGCTTTGGTTGAAAATTAGATACTAATGGCAGTGCATGACCAACACAAATCCGGCCATACTGATAATTAGACCCATAAAAACTGCTGGATATATCCTGAATGTTGTTCTATATAAAATTGGTCCTTATCTTATTTCCAATCATTTGCTCATGCAATAAATACGATAGGTCTGTGCATTCCAAGATTTTTTTAGTTGATGATTGGTTGATGCATTGCATAAGAGTTTAAGCTTACAAATGAATCACTAAAGGCTTCAACAGCTTGAAGTCGCTCCTCATGCATGTCTTCTGTCATAAGCGGTGCTTCCTGCATGATAGCAAATAAAATCCAAAGCAAATTTTAGCATACAAACATGGTGGAATAATGCATTATAGTGACACTTTGAATGGTAACTATATGATAGAGAAACCTGAGTGTACGGGGTATGCATGCTTTGACATGACTTGAGAAGCATCATAGAATCAATAATACCAGCTGAACCTCTCCTGGTGCTTTCTGAAGAATTTTTATCATTCGGCAGGCCTGAATCTTCAGGTTTTCTACCACCATCTCTGGCAATTATTCTTCCACAAGAATGTGAATCATCAATAATTGAAAAGCTGCACCATGAAAATCATAGTCATGCACCGACTGCCATGGAAACAAAACATTAAAACAACTCCAACAGCTTGCAAGTATAGGAAAATCCTGCACCCTGGGGTACAAATCAATTATTTTTTGAAACAGGCATTTGATAAGCAAAAGCTATACTAAAATGCAACAGAGAAAAGTGCTAGGATAGCTATTCTCTCATATTGGAACATTCCAAAAAATATTAAAATTAAAAGAGTAAGCTCTCCAATCCAATCATCTCAGCTTGACTGTCAAATAACACCACCCCAAAATATACTGCTAGCAGAACACCACAAATACACCAAGTAGAAAATACGTTACAAAAATATCAGAAAAATTTCTCCCTTTTCTAATTAATCATACTCCTTGGAAGTTATAGGCAGCCCTCCAACCACATAGCCATATCACTACAATATTGAGCATCTCTATTATTACCAGTTCTCATTACACGATCTCTAAGACAATTGAGCAACATACTCCACCACAATTCTTGGACAAATTTACTCCCCAAAAATCCAAACAAGTCATACCAAAACCACATGCAATAAAGAAGTCCAGGAACAGATTATTTTTTGTACCAAATTACACAGAAAATGGAACATGACATGCATATTAGCAAATAAAGTATTGTACGGTTTCCATGCCATAACAAATCATGTTAATCCTCGTGTTGTAAAACTTAAAACCTATCAGTTGAAGAAATCTTAAGTGACTTAAAATCCCACAATGAAAGGGTAATTGGAAAGTTAATCCTAAGGAGAAGGAGTAGGACACTGAAGACAGGTTGCAGAAGGGAAACCAAAAAGATTCTAACGTTCAGAGCATCTAAGAAGACTAGTAACATTCAGAATGCAGTATCTTTCAAATTACATGCCTTTTCGGCCTAAAACTGGCAAATATTATAACAGATTCTCTGCAGAAGCTTTACTACACAACTGGTTATGTGAAAAGGGATGGAAGAGGGGTGAAAACAAACATGAAAGCAAGTTGATTAGCAACCCATGATGGGAGTTGAGATGCAAAATCATACATTGATCTCTTCAACCACACCTGCTTAAAAATAAATTACGGCAGGATTTATTTTACCAAATCTGTAAATAAAATATTGTTTCATGAACCCCATATTCCTATATTGTTCAAAGGGATGAAAATTATTTTAAACTAATGGATGTAATTTAGTTCAGACCTCTGGCCAACACATGCAAAAGAAGAAAAATAACAATCAGCAGAAACATTTCCTATCAGCCGGATTTGGATGGAATTAACCAAGTTGGCTCTCACTTGTTAAGTTCACCTGTCAACTTTCCCGGAAAAATCTTCCCTGGGTTTCTGCATTGTATGCGGGTCATCCCCAGCTACACTTTCATCCTGCAGTTCAATTAATACCAGAGTCATGAGAAAAAAATAATATAAAAATTACTAGTTACACAACAATCGATGTAACGAATAAGGAAAAGAACAAAATAAGTTTGAGACCTCAGTCATAGAGTCTGAATGATCCTCACTTCCAAGACAATCTTGAAAATCTTCATTCCATTGCCGCTTCTTCTCAATGCATATTGCAAGCTGAATAGAAAAGCAGAAAATGGCAGCAACCATCTTAGCCTTATCAGCTATTATTATCTATACATTGAAGACTAACACATCTTTGTGGCCAAGCTCAGATTTTTTTTTTTCATTTTTTATTATAAAAACTTCATCCAAGAGAAGAGGCGTCCAGAAATTTAGTTTTGTGTCAATATCAATATTAGTGTGTGAAAAAGACAGGGTAAGCATCAAGGTACATCTAAATATTATATGACATTTTCAAATCACAATGATCAGCAAGCTTTTTTTTCATACATACTAACTAATTATAGAGCAGGTCACTCCAACTTGAAAAAATAAGAAGAAAGTTCTGGAAGACAAATAAGTCCATCAGAAAGTTTCATATAGAATATAAAAAGCTACTCATTAGCATGAGAGGAGCATATTACACCAAAGACATTTCAATGGTGAAAATGAATTACCATCAGAAGTTTCTGGTTGATCAAACATGTGGAAAGGTCAATTGTACCGTTTACAGGCATTCGGGGTAATGGTTGTGACTCTTCCCAACACCATCTAACTTCACGAACAAACTCTATCCATAGCACAGCAATAGCTGACATAAAGACCAAAATTGAGCCATACAAATAAAAAAAATACAGCACCAAGGAGATATCTCTTGACCAATGCCTCATCAGTGATCAATGTTACTACTACTTTGATAATTTTACAACAAATAACCCCCCCCCAAAAATCAATTTGGTACATACCACGTATATTGCAGTTGCCAAACCAAAGAGAATGCAAACAAAACTGTGCAAAGAGAGATTCAAGTGATGCGCCTTTTATAGCTCGAGAAGTCTTGTGTTCACCATCGAAAAAGCCCGTCAGTTGAACTCCTGCACACATTACACCAGCATTAAAGTAGAACATCAAATTTTGACAATTTATTCTCACTATCATGCTCTTACATTCATTAAGCGATAAAAGCAATCACATGACATGGAGTAATTTACAGAAACAGAGTAATTGATGCTCTGCATTATCTGTTAATTGCTGAAGGAAGAAAAAAAAATAGAAGTACTGAGCTAACAAACAACCATGTCTCTAATCCATATAGACATTCAAATGAAAGAATCAATCATATCCTGTCTGAATCAGAAATACAAAGGAAAAAGAACAGAATTAAACGATAAAACAATTTAAATTCAAACAATCGCATAAAGCCTATTGTTAGCACATTCACCAGAAAGTTTTGAAGTTGAGTAAAGCTTCATGCATATCAGCATTTAACATCTGATGTATTACATGCTCATTAAAATAAAGGAAGGTCACAAGCTAACCAACAAGTATGTGCTTGTTTGGATTTCAGTTGGATATAATAGATTATGAAAATAATTGATTAAATGCTAGATTTTAATCATAATTGATTATGTTGTAACGTAATCTATTTGGATATTATTTTTCTAAAAATGATTTTAACATAATTGAAGATGTTTGGATAATTTGTTTAGAATCAATTTTAACTGTATAAATTATCATAAAGGACATTACTTTTCAAAATTAAGCTATTGATAAATTTGTATCTAATATTTAAAAAGTAAAATACCTTATTTAAATTATATATCTGATTAATTATAAAAATTAAATTATATTAATATTAACAATTTTAATTTACATAAATAAATAATTCAATATATCTTAGTTCAAATAAATTTAATAAAAGAGAAAGATTTAATTCTTGAATACCAAATATCAATTTTACAATAACTAATAAAGATGATAATATACAAGTTGATCTCTAATGACATCACGAATATAAGTCATATCTGACGAAGATATTAAGCACTGCTTAGAAATTTTGGCAACATAAAAAATGTAGCAATGAAAAACAATGATGCAAAATCTCGCTCTCTCTCTCTCTGTGAACCTTTGCAACAATCTTTGTAATAACTCTCAATTTTAAATTAAATTAAATTAATTTTCCTCTATCATTAATAAATTAGTTTTATAGCAAGTGCTAAGTGGAGAGTGGTGGTTAATAGAAACTTATGCTAGTAACTTTTTTGAAAATTCAAAGTTTGAATTTTAATGAGAGAAAAAAGAAGAGAAGAGAGTTTAGTTTTATTTTTATTAAATTTTGCGCCTTTCTTGTAATTTTCTCATATAACGTTGTGACAAAAGACGCAGAAGCTGAATCTTATAGCTTTGGGAAAAAATCAATTTTTTTACCCAAAAAATCGATTATGATCCATACCCAAACACACTATAATATTCAGACAAGCTTGGAGCAGTGCCATTTGAACAAACACTTTTTTACCACTTTTAAACATGTTTGAAACATGCAAGAAATACCATAAAGTTTTTTTAATTACTTTCATCAAAATAACTGAATTAATAATAGGAGAATTTCTTCTTTTTTTCACTATGAAACTTTAATCTGTGCCAAAGTATGAATAGGATCAAAATGAAGGGCAAAATATATATATAGGGAGGAAGGCTTAAGTACCGTCGTGAAATAGTTCTCTCATAACACGATCTATAACTGTTGGTGAAGGTATAACCATTGAAGATTTTAAATTATCTGAGCCCGGATTTTCAGCTGCCACAAGCCAGGAAAAAGGATAATGTTGAACCTCTACCAAAATTTAATAGCATTACCAAATAGCAAGTAAAAATAAACCCAAAGCCTGCAAAATAAATGAAGAATGAGCCTAAAAAAAAAAAAATTCAAACCTGAGACAAAGTCTTCTATAAACTGGGCCTCAAATGACATTTCCAATGCATCAACTAGAAGGTGAAGCTGGGAAGAAAATCCAATTTGATTCCCTTTGGAACCTTCAAGTCTATAAGTACAGAAATATATTTATTCAAAAGAAACAGATCAACCTTCAAATGAATTGCAGAAATATTTTTTATCAATTTCAATTTTATCAATTAATTTTATCAATTTCATTAATTAATATATTCTCTAAAAATATTTTATTTTTAAAAAGAAAAGATAAGTTCTTATCATGTCCATTAACTCACGAACTTTCTCTTACTCTCCTTTCATTTTTTGTCTTCTTCCTCTCATAACTCCCTCTCCACGCATCCCCTCACCACCATTTTTGAAGGGGGAAAAAAACACACACACACACACATTCAGGCATTTGTCTCAGCTCAAAACAGGCTTGGTCCAAATTTTTTCAAGCCTATTCCGGCTAGCCAGAAATGCCCAATTATAAGAAAAAGAAATATTTTCTCAAGCCTGGTCCTAGTATTTTTCAAGTTGACCCATTGGGCTTAGCACAAATTACCAACTTAAATCATAAAATTGTTCCTTAGAAAATGAAATCAGCAATGACTTGCATTCTATAAAAGGGCAGTGAAGCCTCGCATGGAACCTTTCTATCCATAAGTTTAACAAATATTCAGTTTGATAAAGGAAAATGATAATTATGATGCTTGGTTTGGGATGGCAGACTAATATAAGGATCTGCCTTCACATCACCATGCCCAATTTTCATCAACTATAAGGATCACAAGCGAAATCTGATCACTGCTATATACTTTGAGAGCCAGATAGACAGCAATTGCTAGTATAAGAAGCACATGAAAGAACGATCTATCATGGAAATTTTAGTTGTGCAAATAACAATTGAACTTCTTACAAATTAGGAGAAAAATTTGGGGAGATCAACCATTTCTCAGCTTCATGAGGTGAAGCATTTTCAAGTTCAGCCATTTCCACAGAACTTTCAATGATCTTCTCCGACCATATTGCAATCAATTCAAATCCTGCATGCAGCAAATGCATAAATTAAATGGAATTGGCATTCAAACTAGAGAGCTTTGTGGCAAAAATGAACTTGAAGACTTTTACTAATGAAGACCAAAGATCTGATATCACCAAATTTATACTTACCAACCAAAACGCTTCCCAAAATGACAAATGAATGCAAATAATTTAGGGTCAGCTGGCAGGGAGAACAGGCAGACATGATGAATGAACAAAGTAGACATAATGTCAATTATATTCTTTGAAGACTTCTACCTAGCAACAGCATCCCAGTAAGAATTTAAACCTAATTCCTTCTAACTATAAGTTCCTGTTTTTTCAGATTTACCTCTCACAGGATCTTCTGCAGAATACCACTCACTCCAGGAACAGTCATCGTCCCACTGAGTCCTGTTGGAGGTTTCACCAGTAGGATTTTCTCCAGATTCTGTAACTCCAGCGTCAGTGCCTTTGATATAATCATCATCGTCATAAGGAAGTGTTCTGTATGTTAGCCTCATTGCAAATTGGACTTTGAAAACATGAATGGACAGATCCAATGTGGAGTAAGCCTACAGTTTAAAACGATAACTATTAAAGGAAAAATTGAAGGACATTGTCACTTAGACAAAGATTTTCGCATAAAGCCTCCAGCTCTAACTTTACAGGGAGAACAGATCGTTTGTGCAGATGTTGCAACTTTTGGGGGTAAAGTAAACCAGAAAATATTGCATATACATTTACATAAATATACATCTTAGAATTAATTTTCCCAGAAAGATACAACAGAATATGTGCCCATTCACTCATGCAAATCAGACACGAATTGTATGAAGTTCTTATGTCTCATGCCTTCAAAAATCCACCCTCAGTTAACAATGAATAAATGCATCAGCATTAATCACACCCTTTCTGGGCCATGTAACTAATTGCTAAACCTTGTTTTAGAGCAGCAAATACATTATTCAACTAAACGCACAAAGGAGAGCAAATAGTACAAGAATAATACAAGAAAGAATTATCAGATTGAGTTTAGTGAAAATCAGAATAATGGAACTAAAATAAAACAAATATCAAATTAAACCACTAGGATCAGGAACTCACAAACTTAGCTACAAATAATTCATACAGCCCTTCCAAATGCATGAGTTTTATGGGAACCTGGCTACCAATTCGATCTGCTTCAAACCTTCTTGTAAATACAGTTCCCAAGTTCTGAATTCCAACATATGCTTTCCGAGAAGGATCATGAACTGGAACAAATGCTGGCCATAAACTAAATAACCAATGAAATCAGAAATTAAAGTTACCTATATTTTAATCACTGTGGTGATATATAAAAAATCCATTTATTCAATAATTATAAATATTTAACTTTTTTATTCAACAATCAATTGCCTCTCCACTGAAAACAATAAAAGGCAGGACATGCACCCAATGTTCAAGTGAATAAGCATTTAGTTACCAATTCCAACGTGGCAAGTAAAGTGATCTACCGATAGACACGAGTTACTGTAAATTTTTGCATTTCATCGAACATGACAGATCAAGAAACAATAGTTACCTTGAACAATTTGAAAGAGCAATTGCAACAGCACTCAATAGCTTGCTGGCCTCAGGCGCATCAAGCACCACACCACTTGCACTTTGAGGAGCAATAACCTGGCAATGTACAAGACAAGTGTTTCCTTTATAAAAACATTAAATCCCCAGCGAGAGGTAGATAAAACATCGAAACATACCAAAAACTCCTTTACACCAAAACACAATTGCAAATCGTGCATATTAAAATTCCATTCTGCAGCTTTGCCTGTGTCAACCAAAAGCCAAGATAGAAAGAACAACAGCAAATCTCCTTAGTCCTACACCAAACCCCTTTATTGTTTCAAAATAATAGTAGTAACAATAACAACAACAGTTACCGTCAGGGTTGGAATCAAAATAGTACTCCATACAATAACTTTTCATGGCATACTTCATTTCAGATTTGACCTTGTACAAGTTGTTGAAAGACTCCAGGAGAACAGCTCCTTTTTCCTGCAAGTTAAAAGAAGCGGTTTTTCATTCCGGTCAAAAAGGGAAAATGAGATAGGGTTCGGATGGAAAAGGAAATATAACTTTATAGGTGACAAGCCACTCTTTCCACCAACACCAGATCTTAAATATAATTGAAGCATGATGATCCAAATCATATTAAGAAGAACTGAAGTTTAAGAATAGCACAGCAGTGGTTTTAGATTGAATAACATAAGCAGGTAGAATAAATAAAGCCAACTCTGGGCCTTCACTAAACAGCATGAGTTTTTGGGAGAGTTGATCCTTCTTAACATGGTGACAAAGTCTCTTTAACCAAGTTGTCAGAATTTTTAACCTTGCCACCCTCATTCATTGAGTTCATTGAATTAAATTATATTCAGCAGAAAGGGCCATTGCCCTATTCACACTTCAATCTCAATTGACTATTGTGTGAGGGGACACGTTAACATTATTAACTCAACCAATTTTGGCTCTTCAACTGTCCATGTAAGCACAGATTCAGTCACCTTTAATGCTAAAGGAAACACTGGCAAAAATAAATGCTAATAGGAAAAACTTCCTGATATATAACCTTATAAACTAACAATTTTGCAAATGCATTGCCTTATCAACTTGATAATGTACAGAAAACCTAGGCAACAAACTGTCTTGTGCTCAAATAAATGTATGAGAAATTATCTAAATCAACAGTTTGCATACTGAACAATAACTGGCTACTTTCTGCAACAATATGTCTGAGTGAACAACCCCAGAGGTATTCAAGGCAAGGGAACTACACATATGCATGGATGATTGAAGAGGTAATTATTTACTCTCTACATTTTATTTATAGATACGAGCCTTGAATATAAGACACTTAAACCACAAATAGCCTTAAGAACCTAAAATAAGAACCAGCAACACAATAATTGTTCGATCTATACAAAGATCAGTGAAGCTTTAGAACCAAGCAACCTTACCAATAGATTCTTCGGACCATCAGCCATCCAAAGGCGACAAACCGCCTCAATCTCGGAAATAAACCTATAAAGTCGGTACGGTAAATGATTGAGAGATTAATTTACTCGGCGCAATATGATATGCTTATCAAGCGCTGAACAATTTCCATTAGAAGCACAAATACCTTTCCCATGAAGAAGCGAGAGTGAAATCATCAAAATGCTCAATCTGCATAAATATGAAAGTACATGAAGTGAGTTAAGATTGCGAGAACAATTTTGTTCAAAAAATAAAAACATTGCGAGAACAAATTTGTAAACATTGACAATCCAAGTTTCATAAAAAATGAGTAAACATTAAAAGAAATCAGTTAATCACGTCAACATTCGGTCGGATTGTTTGTGCTTGCATTCAAGTTAAGTTCATGTTTCGTTCAGTATAGTCACATTCAACACGAGAGCTTACTGATTCTTCGGGAACCTCATCGTCAGCGTCAACTTCGGCTTGGCTATTACTCGAGGATGCCATGAAAGATCTGAGAAGGTCACTAGATATGTATCACATCCAGGGAAGACGATGCCGTCAATTTCACCCCCCCCCCACCCCTAACAACTGATTCTCACTATACTGATTTGTGAACGGACAAAGAGATTAGATCTTCGATACGGTGTTTTCCCTCACTATTTCTCTATCGTTTAACATTTGATAGTTAAAATGGTGCATTTTTGTCTTACTTTTTAATTTTTAATAGTGCTGGGCGCATGTATTAAATTTCAAACGATTTTTGCTCTTTTATGCATGCTATTGACAGTGCGCTTTACACCGTAGCGCATAACATAAAAGAAGTCTTACCACGATGGATGCCCTAGCATTTTACAAAGAGATATTTCTGACTTTTTTTGCTCTTGTTTTCCCTCAAATGATATCTCATGCTTTTAAATATTCTCAAACTTTAATTTATGATCTAGTGGGCCTTTTATGCTTGAAATTTATTAATGACTTGAGATCTCAATATTTTGATTATTTGCTTTGATTGTTTAAAAATGAGTTTGAATTTTTTCTGGTATACTAATAGTTATTAAATATTAAATAACTGTAATCCTCCTTTTCATGATCAGTTTTACTCATTAATACTTATCTTGTAATCTCAAATTATAACTTGGTTTTATTAACCATTGTAGACCTTTAATCTGGGTGTTTTATTTTTCTGTTGTGGTTAGTTTTTTTTAATTGTAATTAATTTCTTTTCTATCATGATAAGATGTCTAGGATAGCTTATCCCAAACTACTATAATAATGTAGGGATTTATGACTAAATTTTGGAGATATTTAGGCCATATTACATTAGAATGCTATTCTAGAATAAAAAAAATGGTCATTCGTGCTTAAAAAATATGGCCCTAGTGAGCCTAAAAATAAAAAGTTTACCCTTTTGAATCTTGTTATTTTCTAAAAAAAATAAAAGACTAAATTCATTAGTCATCGTCATTCATTGACTTTGACATCGAGAGCCCCCCTACACTTGCCTTGCCCTACTACCCATACTCATTGACACTTCACACATGATTCAGCAAAGCAGCCAGCCGGCAACTTATCGCCTCCCCTCAATAACCTTTGATGTTTAGGTTTTACATATTTATTGTGGTTTGGATTTACTTAAATTTATTTTTCTAAACTTAATATTATACTCCCTCCGGTCCCATTTATAAAACCCATTTTTTAAGGTCATTTGGTCCCATTTATAAGTCATGGTGTGTCTTTTTACGTAATATTTGAGAGGTATTTTCAAAATCACCCTTTATGAGAGAGAAAAGGTAACAAGACATTACTTTTTAGACGTGTTATATAGGGGCATGTTTGGAATTTTACTTACGTTTATTCCTTGTACTTTTATTGTATTGGTATTGATGAAGTTGGTAGAAATAACTTATAAATAAGATCGGAGGGAGTATGTAATAACTTTTTTTTGAGATTACAAATATGTGTTTTTAGGTTTTTAAATTGAAAAAAAAAATGGGATTGAGGCTGCAACATCCTATTTTGTAAGAACTCAACTAAGAAGCACCTATTTTGTGAGAACTCAACTAAGAAGCACCTAAAGCGTAGTCGTGGTGTGCAAGACACCACTTGTTTTGTAAGGCCTCTTTAGTATTTAATGTACATATTGCTAACTTGGGACATTGATTTTTATTATATAAGCATGTGACTGTTTGTTTTGATAGAAACATGCATTTGATTGCCATGAGTTAGTTTTTGATGTTCATGACCATATTTTGAGATGATTAGATGATTTCATAGTGAGTTTAAAGTAAAATACATGCTTTAGGACAATTAATGATGTTTTTGCTAATTGTGTTTAATGGCTATGACCCAACTATAAAAATTTAATTTGCATAAACGAGTCCATGAGTTCTATCTATTGTTTGGCGTGTGTGAAATGTGGCCAAGTGTCCTACAGAATGGCTTTTGGCTTTAGAAATGATTTGTGAAGTTGAAATTGTTTGAAAGGTATGGTTTAGAACATTTAGAGGTTTTAGTGGATAAAAGCCTCACATGGAAGAGTTTTTGTACCACATCAAATTCATTAACCATATTATTGTTATTATTTAATAAATTTTGTATAGGCACTTAAATCACTCAATTTGAGTGTGTGTGTCAAAAGCTATACATTTTTTACGTTAATTTTTTAAAACTAAATCTATTATAAGCTGTATGTGTCACACGCCATGACATATGCCCCTCTTTAAAACACTTTCTTTATGTTGTCCGTTGTGGCATGGACAGTGTTAGCTATGGTGGATGACACCAATTATACATAAATGCTTATGTTTTGAAAATTGTTTCTAGATAAGTCTCATTTTAATTTGTTTTTTGATAAATTAGTCTCCTACGACCCATGCTTCACAATTAAAGGAGTTTTATATCATCTTTTAAGATTTGAAATGGTTATTTTCTATAACATCCTAATCCTTAGATAATAAAAAAATTGTGAAATTTGAGTTTTTATTAAGTATTCAAAATTATGAATTCATATTTCTTTGAGATTGGAGCTTAAATTTGAGAATTTTTTAGTTAAATTCTAAACCTATATGATTGAGTTTATATTATATTTGTTTCTAGTTATTAGATATTTATTTAAGTATAAATAAATATTTTTAAGGTATAAAATGGTGATTTGAGGCTTGAGGATAATTTTAAAATTTTTAATTTATTTTTGGATGAATTTTTGAAAGATAAATTGATGAAATTTTAATATTATAATTAATTTAAAACCTAGGTATAGCCTATTGAGGTATGAGAATTTCAGAAAGTAATTTAAAAAATTAAACGAGGTACTAATTTTGAATTAGTATTAATATCAAGATTAGCCTAAACTTTATAACTATTTAAATTAGAATTATTTGTTAATTTCAATAAAAAATTAATATTTAGTATTATGAAATTAATGTTATACATATATTATTAAATGGCTGTGTAGATTGTGTTATCTAAGAGAGTAGTGAAAGAGTTGTGGTGTAGGAGAATTTTATTATCTAAGACACGAGATAACCATCACTAATGCGTGGTAATATGTGTGATTAATTATGTGTTTGTTTTGATATTTGAAAAATATTAATTTTTGTTGAGAAATAATATATATGTATATTTTTGTTCAGAAATAATTGCCAAGTGAGTTAAATTTATATTATCAATATTTGTGAATATTGGTACTGTTGAAAACATGAGATAAATTGTCTGGTTGATATAAAAATGTGCCAAATGATTTTTGTTTAACTGTTATAAATGCATGACTAGTTGGAGTACATTGAAAATTATTCAGTAGGCATTTTTGTTTGGTTAAATTACTACGTGGTAAACCCTCATTATAATCAATGTGTGGCTTGTAGCTTGGTCCAACTCACCTTTAGCTCGGGTGACCTAGCATCTGAGCATGGTGTAATAAGAGATATAAAGTATAGTCACGCTAATTAAATAATTGTATGGATTGTTGTTTTATTTTTCTATTTAGCAATTGCATAATTAATTATCTCATGTACATTATTACATATTAATATTTAGTTACTGAAACTTTTAAGTTTCATTCCTCATGGTTATTAATTTTTCAAGAGCGAGTTCAGTAGGAGAAGTACCTGAGGCATAATTCGGTATTGAGATACTGTTTTCTATTTCAACCTCTTTATTTTCATTAATGATGTATATTATGCCAACCTAAAACAGATACACACACACACACATATTGAACATGTAGACTTTATTTAGTATTGTATTTTATATGCCAAGAGAGTTATATTTGTCTCTCATGGTCTTAAATATTTGTGAAGTACAATTTTGAATCAAGTATGTCGTGATAGTTTTTGGTGGTAATTGGTACTTGAAAAAGTGTAATTTGGAGTCCAAGTCGGGTATCCATAATAAAAACATAGTTTGTGAAATGTTGCTCAATTGACCACGGCTTTGAAATTATAATAAAGATGTACACTTGAAGTATTTAATGATTGCTTTTCATAATTACTATGGTAAAATAAATTTATTATGTTTGAATCTTTCTACCATGATAAACCCTTTTTATCATGATAGACTAATTGTGAAATGTTTTTATAATTCTTTTCCTACTATGATAAGAGTTTAAAATTTATAAAATAATTCATCAAACTATTAATATGTGAAAAATAAGTGTTAAAAATTAGGATGATACATTTTCAACAGGTCTCATTAGGTACAATTTAATTAACTAGTTTCCATTTAGTACTTATCGTTAATTTTTTCACTTCCTTAATTATTATGGCAGGTTTGTTCTGACATGTTAAATTTTTTCTATCATGGTAAATCATTTTCTATTATAATAGTCCAATTTGAGAAATGTTTTTAATTATAAGAAAAAAAATTTTCCACCATGACAGGCTTTAATAAATGGTATTGATTCTTAATTACTATCGTGGTATCTTTTTCTACCTTAGTAGGGTTTTGAAATAATATATAAAGTTTTTTTTTACAATGGTAGAGTTTGTGATAATAAGTTTTACTATTTATTATTATAGTAGATACTTTTTTATCATGATAAGTGTTTAATATTTAAAGTTTGATGATTGAATTATATATGTTTTTATAAAAAATTGAAGCATTATATAAGGCTATAGGGTTAGCTTTTCGGCCTCGAGGGCCAGGGCTATGCTTTGTAAAATACAGCCTTGATTTGTAATTGGACTTAACAGAGCTGGCTTATTTAAGCCATGACCCTTAATTGGACGACCCTAATTGCCAACCCTAAATCTACAGTTATACCAATTATAATTAAAATAATATAATTTTATTAAAATATACCTTCTCCATTTAAAAATGTAAGGTATTTTTTGAGAAGTTAGATATTTAAAAATATAAGGTATTTTTAGTCTTTAAAAGTGTAATTATTGCCTTTTTTTTTCAAAAGTGTCTTATTGATAGTAACTTTATATTTATTATAAGGTGTTTAATAAAAGTAAATATGTAAAGATAGGGTTAGTTGAAAAGTAGGTAACTACTTTATTGGAGGGTGAGATTTAGTTAAAAATGCCTTACATTTTTAAATGGAGGGAGTACAAGATATTTATATCTAACTATGAAAAACAATAATATTAAAAAAAGCCATTAACTATTGGGTAAATGAAAATTTTATCTATAAAATCTGATGCATGT